AAAGAAAGAAAGAAAGAAAGAAAGAAAGAAAGAAAGAAAGAAAGAAAGAAGGAAAGAAAGAAGGAAAGAAAGAAAGAATCTTGTACAAGGCGACTTTGTTTGGAAGCCCGTGGAAGTACAGATATGTCACTTTTTTTTTTTTTTTTTTTTTTTTTTTGTGAAAATGTTGTCCCTGTTGAGTTTTTCAGGTGAGACACACTTTTAAGGAGTAAGACATCTTTAGTGCTAACAAGAAGCTGTCTATTTAACTTTATTTGGTAGAGGAAATGGATAGATGAACTCAGTTTTACTATTTTTCAAGGATAAGTTATTAAATCCGATCCCCTTGGAGACTGTTAAGATACAGATATATTCTCCCGCTTTGGATGCAATAAACTAGTCATTGGCTTTAATGCTATTTCAGGTGAATGAATAGAATCTTGAGGGCTTAGTTGTTTATTCTCTTGACAGCTATAAAATCAGTGAAGGCTTGTAAGATACAAATGCGTTGATAGTCTCACCTCTTTTTGACCTGTTTCAAGCCACTTTGTAAAACAAACAGAAAGAAGAAAAACATAGAAACTTTCATTATGTTTCTTTTTAAAGTTTTCTTAATGCCTTTTAACTGGGGTCATTTACTTTGATCGTTCGGTTTCTTAATTCTTGATTCTATTCAGTAAATGCTTCCTTTACTTATATATCTTACGTAATGACTACATCATGAACGTTAGGAACAGTTGCCATATTCTATGTTGACCGTTCATTTATGATGGAACAACAAAAAAAACATTTGGAGGAGCAAAAAAATTTGAGGATCAGAAGATCATTTCTGAAAACTTGTTTTCTGAAGTAGCCCCACCGGCCTGCTGAGCAGTGAAAGCAAGAGATGTGTGCAGCGAGTCCCAGTGGAAACTTGATAAGCTGCACAGTCCACTGAGAAGCAGGACTTCCTACCCTGCTCTGTATGTGACTCTTCCAGGTAGAGCAGATCATGCTGTTTACCAGAATATCAGTTCTTAAAAACCCACTTATCTGAAGTAGAAGCATTTGACAGGCTTTCCTTTGAGGATTCTATTTTACAGTTTAAGTCATTATTGCATAAATCATTCTTGGCAGCTCTGAACGTTGCTTGAGGTGATGAAGCTGTAAATCTTTTGACACGAAACTCTAATTATATAAAACTATAATTACACTGAGCCTTATATAAGGGTGGGCACGTACTTTAATACTGTCGTGGCTTCGTGTTTAAAAAAACATACCATAAGAAGAGTGATTGAGAACTGGAGAACACCTTACTTATTTCCTTGTTTGTGGTTTGTAGGTGATAGCAATAAAAAAATAGAATATCTTAATTGGCTCTGCTTTAATTTACTTCTTCACTTGATCATCATGTCATAGAAATAGCTTGTTGAAGACCCTAAAATCCCTCCAGCTATATTTAAGTATGTAACATATCTCATAAAACAACTTAAAAAATATAGAAAACCAAAGTAAACTTCAGTAAAAATCAGGCAGTCTTGTGATTTTGGTGCTTAGATTTCAGAGTTGCAGTTTTATTAACCAATCAGTATTGTTCATAGTTGCCTACCCTGTCTTTTTGCCGCTTTTCAGTAGCTGGCTGTTGGGAAGTGGCTAAGCAGAGTCCTCACCCAAACAACACAGAAGTACAGAGGCAATGTTTAATTCCACTAAAGTTGAAAATGGACTGGGTTTGTTACCACTGAGTCTCTCATTCCTGAGAGCTATGAAGAAAGACCTAAAAGATGTTGTTCTTTAAGAGTGAAGGTGACTCCTGGTTTTTACCACTGTCTTAAGTGACACATTGATCACAGAAACAATGGGTGTACAAGCAGTCTCCACTTTGATGGCATTTGTATAACAGAGCAAAAAAAATGTTCATTTGCACTTTATAAACCATAAATGTTTCTAAGAAGTTGTTCATAAACAAATAAAAAAAATACAGAGAGGCCTTAGGACTGTTAGAGCCAGTCACTACTTTTCCTTTATTCTTCAACTTAAATAAAATAATTGTTAGTATATACTTTTTATTATACTTTTTACTTGCACACTATAATGATGTCATGAGGAAGCAATGCAGTTTAGTTAAAAGTTTAGTCATATGAAATAACTATTATAATGGGTTTACATAAGCTTTATGCATATAATATATTCAGCTCTCCTAATTCTTGGATTGTGTAGTAGAGATGCAGATGGTGGTTTTAAATTCAGAAATAGAAATATAGTTTGTGTGTGTGTGTGTGAGTGTGTGTGTGTGTAATTCAAGCAACAGGAATGATTTCCAAGGAGTGTGTTGCCTGAGATTTGTTTCACTGTCACTTTCTTTCTCTCTCATCCAGACTTCTCCATACTTTATTCCATAGGATATTATTACATCTGAGAGTCTAAAATTCACTTTCTTTCACTGATCTTTTTTCCTAACACCTCATGCGTTCTGGAAGTTATACTTGGTTCATTGTAT